GGTCAGCATGTGCGTTGAAGAGTCGCAGCAATATGTGTCGAGTAAAGACAAGTGTTGACGGTAGTTAACAAACATTATAAACCATTAATGTAACATGTATAAGGGCATGAATACAATCACCAACAAAGGTTTAGGGGTTTAAACTAACAAATTACATGAGTTTTGGTGAATCTGTATTTTTTGCAGGGTTTATACAGAAAATCGTCAAGTTGGACCTAGATGTTAGACTTAATCACGATTATCCATGGGATAAACAACACCAGAAGGTTTTAGAGGACTCCAGAGGACACCACACCAAAGCAGAGGGCAAGAGGCCGCTAGGTGGGGCTGACCGGTCCCACCCTCAGACCGGCTGGTCTAGGGTCCCACCTGTCAGCCTCCGCCTCGCTACGTCGGTTCTCCACCTCCTTAAGGATTGCATCTATGCTGTTTTTTCAAGTTGGTTTGATCTGAGGGCTTAGGATTGACGCTCTAGCCTATATATACTAGCCCCTACCACCCCACCTGTGCAACAAGTCATTTGAGAAGGTAGAAACCCTAATCATCCTCAGAGCTCCATATTCTAGGGCATAGCTAGCTAGGCTAGGTCTAGAGGGAGGCAAGCAAGCTTCGCTTGGATTCCTGATCATGTCAAGAGCGTGGCTTGGTATAGCTTTTGTACCCCTCTCCCTTTGTATCTCTCATTACTTTTATATGTTTGCTACAATTGTTATGACATTGTTCTTAGTATCATTCATATTCCTAGTTATAATGTTCATTGTCTACTTTGATTATACGCTTAGTATAGTTAGATTATCATCATGTTCAAGCATAAATTTGTATAGCGCTGACTCTAAGGTACCATGGGTGAGTGGTCAACATTGTGTAAGCATGGTGCTTATATGTCGTTTACCTGTGGATGCACCCTATATTCTGGGCCATGTGGTAGATCACGGATGTGACACTCCCATTGAGTCCTTTGTAGTACACTCCCCAAATGTAGGTCAAGTAGGACTTAGTTGCGAAGGAAGTTAGGCTCTATTCTTGATCTTCCTTAGTAATGTCCATTATGTGTAGATATGAAGTTAATCCTTAGCCATGATTATTAAGTATAATTGCACTAATCAATGCATGCTTTGACTTGTAATTAAGATCAACTTAGGAATTAGTTTCTCTATTGTATCTACTTAGTCTTGCTATTGCTATCATAAGGAGTACTATGGGTGTTCAGTTAGCATTTATTATTTATCATAAATATATCCTATCTCTTGATTTACCCCTGTTTAGAGTAGAAGGTTGGTTGGTTCATCCATCATAAGTATAAGTTATTAATATATTTCCTTTGTCAGACCTTTCCTGAGGTAAAAATATAAATGACGATACCTGGAATACTCCTAGATGAACTGCTACAATGATATATTTATGAGCTTGCAAAATTCTTCATATATATATATATTGGGAGCCCGGGGCTTCCAATAGCTAATGGAGAGCCCCAGCCAGCCACCCCACCTAGCCCAACCATTCAGGTCCGCGGAGCTGATGTGCGTGTGCAGGTGGGGGACCCTGTGGACCCAACTGACTCGGATGCTTAAAATCCCATGTCAAGGTGCACAAGAAAGTTTTTATCGTGACATTGCATAGAAATCAGTAGTTGGATGATTTAAAATTAATTCATTATGGCATACAAACCTCTCGCGCGAGCAGAACTTCCAGCTGACACAACTTGACAAAGCTGACGCATGCATGCATGCACGCATCCAATCTAATATCTTTCATTTTTTGTTATAATTCCTCAACGAAGCATCCGATTCAAAAATAGTTTTCACCATTGAACTCCTGACATTTTTGTGCACGATTCAAGATCCATTGTGAATATTTTTTTGAAAAATTTAAAATTCATAAATTTGAAATTTGAATCATGGCACGTGATGGCCGATTGAATGCATAGAAACAATGGTCAAGATGCGCATAAAAGTTTTTTGCACCGACGTTGCATAGGAATTCGTAGTCGGATGAATAAAAAATAATTTAGTTACCGTGTAAAAACCTCTCCGCGAGATGGACATTGCACCTGACACAACCATGATTGCCTCCACCAACATCATGCTTCCCACTATGGTGGTGTATAATTAACATGGGAACAATGCATAAAACATGGAGACCACAAGCGTAAAACATAGAGACGATCTTGTCTTCTCCAAAGTTTGAAATTTGAATCATGGCACCTGATTGACGACTAGATGCATAGAATCAATGGTCAAGATGTGAAGAAAAAAGTTTTTGACACCAATGTTGCGTAGAAATCAGTGGTTGGATGAATAAAAATTAATTGTGTTACCACCTAAAAACCTCTCCACGAGATGGACATTCAACCTGACACAACTGTAATTGAATCCACCAACATCATGCTTCCCATTATAGAGGTGTATAATTAACATGGGAACAATGCATATAATAGGGAGACCGCAAGCATAAAACATGCAGACGATCTCATCTTCTCCAAAATTTGAAATTTGAATCATGGCACATGATGGCCGATTGGATGCATAGAATCACTGGTCAATATGCACAGAAAAGTTTTTTGTGCCAACGTTGCATAGAAATTAGTGGTTCGATGAATAAAAAATAATTTTGTGACCATGTAAAGCCTCTCCACGAGATGGACATTCCACATGAGAACCGTGATTGCCTCCACCAACATCATGCTTCCCACTATAGGGGTGTATAATTAACATGGGGACAATGCATAGAACATGGAGACCGCACACGTAAAACATGAAGACGATCTCATCTTCTCCAAAATTTGAAATTTGAAAAATAGCACGTGATGAACTATCGGTTTCATAGAATCAGTAGTCAAGAAGCGCAAAAATGTTTTTGGCACTGACATTGCATAGAAATTATAGCTTCAATGAATAAAGATCACTACTAACTTCTAACCCTTGCGCAATGACGAAAAAACGTTGCAACAGGCTCAATTTGGTTGCAAAAGGCAGATGTTGCAACCAAATCACGTTCGTTGCCAATGGTTGCAAAAAGTCACGTTGCAATAAGGTATTGCAACCGTTGTTAGTTTGGCGTTGCAAGTGTTGGTGTTTCTTGCAACCATAGGCGTCCGTTGCCAAGCACGGCAATAGGACATTGACGCAACGTTCACGGTCGTGGGAATATAAGCACTTGCCACGCCCGTCTTCGTAGCAAGAGGTTGTACATGCAACGATCGATAGCGTAGCAATAGAGACAATTTGCCACGAACAATGTCGTTGCAATAGTCTGTATTGCCACACTAGAATTTTGTTGCCTAAGGTGTTATTGCCACGATCGTTATGCCGTGGCAAGTACACCGTTTGCCACACAATTTTATTCGTTGCGAGAGATCATACGTTATTGCTATGGTCGTTGTGCCATGGCAATAGTATCATTTGCCACATAATTTTATTCGTTGCCATAGATCATATTGCCACGCAAGTGAGTTCATTGCCATATATCATATTCCCACGCATAGCTGCTCATTGGCATAGTTTGTATTGCAACGCTAGTAGCATTTGAATTGTGGTTTAATAAATCATCATTGCAAAAAACAATAAACCATAACAAAAGCGATTGCACTCACATATATTACTTATTACCAATCATTCAATAAGTTGACAAAGCATTGAAATAGTAGCTAAAATCATAAACGAGTGTATAGTTCACTCATTATTTCACAACTTTTTAAAACTTGCAGCAGTACAAGAGTTCCTAACATCTATGCAGCACCTCGAGGTTTTCCTAGCAGCAACATGTGATCACCTTGGCTATGTCCTCGTTTGATTATCAGCCTCCCACTTAAACCTTGTCCACCTACTGACCAAAAGAATAAGATTGGGATATTAGCAAAATATTAGGTTTACTACGTCATGCACAAAATGTAAAGAGATTCAGATAGAACATGATTGTAATTAAGCAAAAGAAGAATTAATCAAAACTATGGAAGGAGTGCTGTCAATTTAATTAAGCAAAAGTAGAACTAAAAATTAAGAAATGCTATAGATACAACCATTTTGCTGTCAAAGTATCTTAATTTTTAAGACAGCAGTAGTACAGTTGCTTAGAAAAATTATAACTACAGTTCTAGACAACGAAAAATTATATTCTTTAACAATACGGAAACCCCATGAAATTATCTACATCATTCTAGTTATTTGTAAAATCAGATTCTGAACTTATCAAGGTCGAAAATCAAAAAGGCCCACTGCTGTGCAGAGGAATTAGGTCAAAACCTGACAGGCTACATCTAAAATTCATAACTCCCAATTCTCCAAGGCTAAAATCATGAACTTTCACGACGACAAACATCTCTAAAGCCTCTACAACTTTGATATTATCAAGTATCATAATTTACTACATGGAATAATTCACCCAATCAGAACTGCACAAGCTGCAATTTTTAGCACGTATGATAAATGTATTTCCTACATTTCCTAGTTCTACAAGGAAGGTCGCATTTGATAAACTTTCAGAAATTGATGCAAGAGTGCATGACATCTAACAGAGTTACTAACTAGGAATGATGAAACAGAATTAAATCCTTAACTAATTATTTACATATTTGGTGTAGGTGCAACCTTTCTTGCATTAGATGTGTCTAATAAGCATGCAGGGACAACAACGATAAATGCAGACCAATGTCACAATAAATTGTGGATTGGTGCACTCTGTATTTAAGAACATAGCAAAACAAGAATTACATCCAAATCATATCTATTTCTCATGGCATGGTAGTGTTAGTGCAGGTCTGTCCAGAAAAGAGTTATGATAAAATGAGCACAATTTAGTTTCCAATTAGCAGATAACATATTGTAGTTGTTACCTTCTTTATAGGATTTCTTGTTCTATTCATCAGCTGCTATTGAGTGATATATGTCTTCGGTGCTGCCACATTTGCAGCGTTTTCTTTGAAAAGATTTCTGCTGACAATAGTAGTATTTTTATTGGAGTAGTAGGTGGTGCTGCATCTTTTTGTACGGTGACAACGCTTCCTAGCTGTGTCTACAAAGATTAAATTGTTCAATCTGTTTTACCTAGACTTTAAGGTACATAGCTCAAGATTACTTGGAACATAGTGCAATAATGTCATTACCTGCTGTAACGCATCTTTATTTTCATCATTTGCATGTTGACCAGTCTCATCGTCCTCTTGTGTGGTTGGTGCAATTTGTATGTTGTCATTGTTTTGCGGGATACTCTACACATACAAATATTGAGGTAAAAGATTAGGCATTATAATCATAAGTTTATTAAAAGGACGAAGGATAAAAAATTATTCTGAAATATTACCTGATTCATAGTTCCTGCTTTGTGCTGCGCTAGCATATTAAGAAATTCTTGCTTCATTTCTTTTTTTAGTGCTATCTTAGCATTTTCCAGATCCTCTTGCATCTGTCTCCTATTTTCTTCTTTCTCCCTTTCCCTTTCTGCAGCTTCGTGTGCAAGCTGATCTTTCAGCTTCTCAACCTCTACTTCATAAGCAATTCTCTTCTCCTTGGCTACAGCTTCAGCACGTGCATGTACTTCAAGGTTCTCTTTCATAAGTTCTCTGTGAGTTCGATACTTAGCCAAGTATCCATGCCCATGTACTCTGGATGATTTGATCTGTGTGGTTTCTTTGTAGCATGACTGGAAAATCATGTTCTCCTCAGCAGCTGAAAGTGTTTGTCTATCAGGTTCTAACTCAATCTCACCCATTTTAAAGGCTATGTTTTCCTAAATGGAATAACAGAATCCGTTAGAGTTGCTTGACACAACCAGCAGATATAAAAAAGGCTTGCTGAAAGATTTACTCACATGTACTGCAAATGACACATAATTTGACCATTTGCCCTGTTTTGTGTGAGTGGCCTTCTAAAGAAAATGATCACTCGGCTCTTCACCAGTTTCTTTGTCTCTCTAGGATGCCAAAATATAATTCAACACACAAGTATTGCATCATACAACGGAAGGACCAGATAAGTGTATCTAATGATTACCAGCTTGAAGCTACACTGGAAGTCCCCTCTTGCAATGAACATAAAGAGTCCAGATCTCACCCGTGGCACTGCATACATAGGACAATGGTTGATAAATAAACATGTTAAAAAAGGTGAAGTATTACCCATTGGCACAATCTTAACTTAAGCAAGAATAAACATGTTGATCTTGATAGCAGCTCTTTTAATTTTTCAGATCAACTAGAGTTCAACAGATCTGAAAACCTCACAAATATAGCATTCTTAAATTTCACTTTGTCAAATCAAATCAAATGAACCAAAAGAAATAAAGATTCAGTTAATCAGAAGTTGAAATTTTTAAGGAAATTATAATTCAGGAGAATTTATGCTCATGCTTTTTTTGTCAATTAAAAATAACAGGTGTCTCACTTGGCTACTTGTCAAATGCCAAAATTCTTTTCTACTATATGGTTACAGCAACATCAAGGCAAGAATTGATTCACTGATTTGGCATATAAAAGAACAGCAAGATTAATAGAAGCATGATTACTAATTTGGCAAGTTTCATAATATAAAAGAAAAGGTAGTACTAGAAAAAAATAACTAATGGATCTGTCAAACAGCTCAAAGCCTCAAACAGAAACTAAGTTTTCCAAACAGTATCACCATCCAATGCCGCGACCTGTACAAAGTGTGGAATCTAATAAACTAAGTACTTAAACTGGACTAAAGCTAGGGATGCAAGCAAGACTACCTGCAGGCGGCCCGCGGATAACTGCATCAGCCGCTAGTATATTTTGCTACTCCTGCAGGTTCCTACTAGTATACAGCTCACTGCCCGCATCCACCTGCTGGGCTTAGCAGCAAAACACATGCAGGCTTGCAGACACCCGCCGGAAGCCTGCTTTCAGTTGCGAGCAATGGAAGACCCTGCAGAGGACACAGCACGCTTTGCTTTCTCCGCACCACTGTCTTGTCTGAAAGAATCTAGCGACTGATTTATAGTAGCAATTTCACTGGGCTCCTGATTTGATTAGAAATGCGTCGATGGTTGTTAGGAAAATTTGCCTACGCTTAAGGTTTACTATTGCAGTCCAAAACTAACTTTTATCAGTGCTAACCGACTGCTAATTTTTTGGATCAGCCACTACAGGCATGGGAGGCTGAGGGGGAGCAAGCAAATGAGGACCACAACTCCACATGTAAAATAACCAATGTTAAGGCCACAAATTAGGAACTTCAGATGTAAAATAACCAATTACAGTCCTCTAACAAAAAGAAGCCACTCTGGTCATGACAACGGCAACGGCTGAAGAAATAAACAAGGACAGAAGCACCAACAGAACTAAATTAAAGAGCAATGTTTCTAACAATAAATGTATAGCGCATCTAGTCAATCAGGGCTGCATCCAAACTGTACAGTCCATTTACATGCTAGTCCATATCAGAAAGTTCAAGAACCACAAGAGATCACACGCAACAGCAACACTACAGGATGAAAAGCAAACCATCTGGGAGATCGAGGAAGACTGCTCAGTGGGTTTAAGCCTAAGAGGCATTACAGGTTACTCCCGCTTAAGCCTGCTAGGCAAGCGCAGGTTCCCACGAAGGATTTTTTGCAGGCTGGATTTAGCAGGTTGCAGGCAAACCTGCACCCGTTTGCATCCCTAACTAAAGCTCCAACAATCTACCTAGTGCTAACAAACAGGAATCTAATAAACTGGATTTCTGATGACAGTAGTCAAAGCCAACAATCTACCTGGTGCTATATGGATGAGAGAACCCATGTTCATCTTCTAGTTCGAGGGTGGCTTCAATATATCGATTGGCGCCCAAGGCGGTGGCGTTGTTGCTGGCGCTGATGCCCTGAGGAGGAAGCGACGTCCTGGCTGGAGGCGACGTCGGCGGCGTCCTGGACGCAGGTGGCGTCGGGGGCGTCCTGGAAGGAGGCGGCGGCGCCATGGCCCTCATGGAGGCGGCGTCGGGGGCTCCTGGATGGATCGCGATCTAATTTTGGGGGAGGGGATACGAATAAGCAGGTACGGGGGGAGGAACCAACGATATATGGAGCTTTTTCTTTTTTCCGTTTGTGCGCGGAAATTTGGCGCGGTGGGAAACTTTGGAAAATTTTGGGAGGAAATCAGGCACGTGTTGTGGTTTTGAGCCTTCGTTTTGGCGCCTTCACGTGGGTTTTAGGCGGTCTGACATTTTTGATACACATGATTATTTTTCAAATAAAACTTTGCATACATACCATTTTATATATATATATATACACACACGTAATTTTTTCAGTAGTACACACAATTAAATTTGGAATTTGTTCCAATCACCAGAGCTCTGCAGCAGCGTAGCGCAGCCATGGCGGGGCAGTGGGCGGCGGCGGGGGCGAGTAGGACGATGGACAGTGCCATCGGAAGGAGGAAAAAAATCGAGTAATTGCTCACTCGGGTGAGGAATAGATAGATCCTAAAAAAATATTAGCAGTATGCCCGTGATAGTGCTACGGTAAAACCTAAAACACGATCAAATTCATGTCATAATTTTATATGGGCAGTTTTTCAAATATAACTTTTGCATACATACAATTTAAATATATATTTACGTAATTTTTTCAGTAGGAGTACACACAATTCAATTTATAATTTGTTCAAACCGACACAAAGAAATTCATTTAATCTATGTCTTTTGGGAAAATTTGGGAGCCAAATTTCTCTGGAGAGGCAAATCTCTATAACTAAAAAATGGTAAAAGCCACGTGGCCAGGTCGAGGAAGAGGGAGGCCGCGCTAGGGTTTTGCCCGAGCTCGGCAGCCGTGTATGCCAGAATCAAAATCGAATGCACAACATATGTATGTCAGGATCAATTTATTCGTACATGACATGAGGCTTATATCAGGGATAGGCTAACTTTGTTTGACACCAGCGCCTAAGCGACACGTTCTAATTTCCTTAATTCCTTTACACGTAATTACTAGGTGAATTTTGCCTTCTCCTCAGAGAACCAAACCAACACTTGGATTCCATCCAAGCTCCCAATTGAACCAACCATTCCCTTACAAAGGGAACCACCCAAAACGAACCAGAGCCATTTAATCTTGAAGAAGTCCAAGTCGATCTTGTCCATGAGCACGGCTGATATATTGGTTTTACACTCTATAGAGATTGCACACTTTCACCATGAGTCATGTTTTCCACATCACGGTTCACACTACCTAGGCGCTTCGCGGGGTCACACTACAAGGCTATTACAAAGTCCTCCAAGCCTCTTTTACACCCCTCTAAGGTTTCGCCGTGGGTACCAACACCACTGCAAAAGTAGTAGTAGCACTAGAAGTAGTAAAAGTAGTAGTAGTTGGAATATTATATTCAAAAAGTTGGAATGTTCAATTTAAAAAGTTAAACAAAAAAGTTGGAATGATATAAATAGGTTTTCAAAAATTTTAAATGTTGTTGTAATGTTCAATTTTAAAAGTTAAAAAAATATAAAAAATAACTAGAAGTGGTAAAAGTAGTAGTAGTTGGAATATTATATTAAAGCCAAAGGGCGCCTAGCTCAAACGGTTAGGTGACCCAGCGGCACTCAGGTTCTGGGTTCGACTTCCTGTGGGAGTGAATTTCAGGCTGAGGTTAAAAAAAATCCCCTCGTCCGTCCTCATAACCAAAGCACTTGGGGGGCACCGGCCCAATTCTCACTTGGGCGACGGAAAGCCACCGTGTAAGGGTGGGCGCGGGGGTTTGGGTTTTTCTCGGCCGGGTGTGAAGGTTCTTCTTCTTATTTGTAATGTTGCGGGGGCAGTCTTAGCCCCCGGCCGAGTTTTTTTATATTACATTAAAAAAAGTTGGAATGTTTAATTTAAAAAGTAAAAAAAAAGTTGGAATGATATAAATAGGTTTTCAAAAAATTTAAATACAATTAGAATATTCAATTTAAAAAGTTAAAAAAATATAAAAAAACAGAGTTAAAATTTTTTGCACTGTACGGGCCTAAAAAAGACCAGTCTCCTCAGCAGGGAGCTCAGCAAAGCAACCTGGCCCAAGCAGGTCCAATTATGTGCATTTTTTTAGAATAGCGTATGGTACAAGAAGTTTAATGAGGTTCAGGGTGTGTTTGGTTGAGCTGTGGCTTTGAGAAAAAGCTGCTGTGGGCTGTGAGCTGTGGGAAAGCTGCTGTGGGTTGTGAGCTGTAGAAAAGCTGAAAGCTGTTTGGTTAAACAAATATAAAATATAACTTCTATCTTTATCTCTCTTGAAACAACTATGGAAGAGCTTTTTATTCCACTAATTTCGAAAAGCAGAAAGCCAAAAGCAAGGTCAAAGCAGCTTTCAAAAATGTACTACGAAAATAATAGATGAAAAAGTAACCTCCAAAAGCAGCCCTTTGGTTGGGCTCCAAACCCAAAAGCCCAATCAAATGGATCCTCAGTCCCTTCAACTTTTAAGCTACATTTCATCTCCATACGTTGGCGAGGTGGCACTAATGTACCAACGTTTGGGCAACAGCCAACACACTACGTCAATGGACCGGCCCACTTCGTTTCCTCAAAACAGTCCCGCACCGGCCACTTCCTTCTCCCGTACACCCTCCCCATCTCGTGAGACCGTGACCCCCCGCATTCCCCACCCGTGACTCCCACGAGGCACGAGCGACGGAGGCGGCAACGGATTGAATCCCCCAGGCGGCGACGAAGGTGGCGGTGGAGTCATCGACCATGTCAAGCAGCAAGCGCGGCCACAACACCCGGACCCAAGCGCGCAACTCACGCGGCCAGTTCGCCCCACGCGCGAGGTGTACCTCGTTCGACTACGACACCGACGTCGACGGCGATCCGGCCACAATGTGGTTGGCATTGGAGGTTTGGGTGACCGGAGGAAAGTGTGGCAAAGGGGCAGCGTCCAGCAGAGGCAAGGAAAAGGTTTCGGTCTCCAGCACGAAGAGGGGCAAATGGGTGCCTTCCACCTCATCGAAGAAGGAAAGAACGATTTCCCCCTTTGGTGCGCTGTGTGAGATTTGGATGCCATTCAGAGTTAGAGTTTCGTGGCTTGGGGGCGATGAGCATGGGTGGTGCCCGGTGCTTGGATGGGGACATAGCAGGGTTGCCGTGTCTCGAATAATTCGTTACCAAAATAGCCCTTCAAATTAGTAATAGGTTTCTAGACATTTGTGTTACCCATGTCTGTGAAGTTCTTGTACCACCTAAACTAAGCATTCCATAGCCTCGATGTCAGCAGTTAGCACCTGGTATTAAGCAATTTTCTTTTTGACGTATGGTTGCTAACTACATTAGTTCTTTTCAATTAACTGAAGCAATGCTATGAATCTAGCAATTTTCTATTTGATAGATATGATTTGATATGTCCTTAGATCTTAATGATTATTTGTAGCTATAAGTTTTCTATTAAAGCTTTATGCATCTGTATCCGCATTGATATATCCTATATAAGTTGAAATCCAAAATCATTTGTAGTTTGTAGTTCAGAAAGGAACCACATGCAAGTCGTGTTGGCATTATACATTCATACTGGTGCAGGTTTTGACTAACTGGATGACAGCTGTAGAACTTGGTTACTGTACTGGGGTTGTATAGGTTCTACTGGCTTGCTCGTGCACCTTAACCAAACATACTGTGATGAAAGGAAAATGAGAGTCCTGTTTCAGTCTCAATTTAGTCATGACAGCGTACACAACTATGTTTTATTTTTTCTAAGTGCTTTGTTCAGTAATAACCGTTATTTTTTTAATTGAAGGTTCCCGATGACAGTGTTGAGGAAGACAAGTCTGGGTCATTTGCTTTGTACACGATGACAGGTATGACCTTTCTGAGTTCGAAGAACATCATCATCATGAAGCCATGGACAAGCTCAAATGGACAATTGAGCTGGCTAAGGACGATGCCAAAGGCTCCATCGATCACTATGCGGACAAGTATGCGAAGAAGGCAAAGCGTGATGTTGAAAACATATTTGATAAGCTCTACCAGGAGATCAAGCAGAAGTACAAGCCGAGGAACTGAAGTGCATGCATGCTGATATGTAGTTCTCTTTTGGTGTAGTATAAATAAATGCAAGTAGTGCATGCTGATGCTGGTAGGTAGTGTGTTGGTATGTCTGCAACCACTACAACTATGTCGTATTAGTTTATTGGTTGCTCTGATGGGAATATAACTCAGACTTAGTAGTTTGTGGCAACATCTGGCGACACCTGGTAGGTTAGTTTGGAAGAAATAATGTATATTTGGCAAGTGCCATGATGATGGGAACCACTATATGCAATTAATGGCCCTGTTCGGCTTGCCTCGTATTCGGCTTGTTCGGCTTCTTTTTTCAGCCAGAATAGTGTTTTTCTCTCACAATAATTCAGCCAGAACAGCGTTTTTTAGCCAGTTTCAGTCAAAATTCTGCATAACTTGTGTTCAGTTTCCTAAGTCTATGGTGTGTTCTGGAACTGATCAGTGGTCAGTGGATGGATGGATCCATCAAGTGCAAAGAGCAAATCCTCCCATCGTTTGTACCCTTTTCTGCTCCATATAATTACTGTGTTGATAATGTGCCGTCAGATGTTTTCAAGTAATGAGATAGTACTGATGTTGTAAGTTTGTGTTTTTGAAGATTTTATGTGTTCATATATATATATAATAATATGCTTTGAACATGGGCGTGGAGACCTGCTGTGCACTAGCAGCCCACATGAGTTTTTGGGCCTGTTTGGATGCTACCCTGGAGTAGTTACCTGGATATTTCACCTGCCTATGAGCTGCTTGTTATTGAGTAGTAGAAAATTGCCTGGTCAGGCAGACTAGGATTGTTTGGTTCAGATACTGAAATCATGTCTGTGGGAAGAGTGGTGAGGGCACAGCGATCCAGCGGCACCGGCGACAGGGACACCAGTGGCTGCAGGGAGGCCGCGACGACGCCTGGTGAAAGAGGCGTCTGCGACGACGCCTTGGAAAGAGGAAGCGACGA